GCCCTGCCAGTACAACGGAATATGAGCCTTTGGAGATAAGAATCACAATCCAGAATTAAGATTGCCAGGAGAAACATCAACAACCTCAGATATGCAGACGATACCACTCTGATGGGAGAAAGCGAAGAGGATCTCAAGAGCCTCCTGCTGAGGATGAAAGAGGAGAGCCCAAAAGTCGACCTGAAACTCAACGTCAAAAAACTAGGATCTTGGCATCCGGCCCCATCACTCCTTGGCAAACAGAAGGGCAAGACCACTGCAGATGGTGCCTGCAGCCATGACATTAAAAGATGCCTGCTCCTTGGGAGGAAAGTGATGGCAAACCTAGACAGCATAAATGAAGAGTAGAGACATCCAGTGTTCCCTCTAAGCTGAGTGAGTGTGAGCTAGCTCACAGCTTTTTAGCTTCCGGCTCACACATTTTTGCCTGGGCTCAGGAAGGATGGCTCCAGAGCAAACTCACTGGAGAAGACCCGGATGCTGGGAAAGACTGAAGGTCAAAGAAGACGGGGACGGCAAAGGACGAGATGGTCAGACAGTGTTATCGAGGCAACCGACATGAAATTGAGCAAACTCCGGAGGACGGCGGAAGACCGGAGGGCCTGGCGTGAGGTGGTCCATGGGGTTGCAAAGAGTCGGACTCGACTGTGCAACTGAACAACAACAAATAAGGTTTTGTGTGCATGCACACGAAAGCTTATACCCAGAATTAAACTTTGTTGGTCTTCCAAGGTGCCGCTGGACTCGGACTTTGACCCTTTGCAGAGTGCGGATAGCAGGTGAAGCCCAATTCCTGAGTGACCCCTTTGGAGGGGATTTGCATCCCCCAAAAGCGTTGCCTGCAAGGTGGCCTTTTGTCACCCTTGGGGAGCTTCTCATCGGTTGAAGCCACATGTCACTTGTGAATGAGACTGTTAAAATCCTACTTGCCGTTTGTGTTGGGCTTTGCAGCGTCTAAAGCACTTCACATTTAGCTGCTCTCTGAAGTAGGGCAATGTGATTATCCCGTTGTTACAGATGAGGCTGAGAGAGACAGAGCGGGCCGCCCATCTGGCTTGCAGCAGAAGCAAGATTTGAACCAGGGACCTATGGGTTTGTGGTTTGTCTTTCAGCCTCTGTGCTGAATCAGCGCTTGCCTGTAGTGACCTGAAGTGCTCAACCGGATGGGGCTCCGATGAGCTAATCGGTGCTGTTTTCCTGACTGAAGGAACCGGGAGAACCAGCAGCAGAGCTCTGTCTCCTTGCCTGGGCAGCTGTGGCCCAGCCGACGGGGATGGCCATACGTGGGTGGGTGGAGGGAGAGGCTCAGAAACGAGACGCAGGCAATCCCAGGTGTGTCCACAGGTGCTCTAAGCCCTTCCCTGCACGGGTGGCCTGTATGCACAAGCACGGGCGGCCTGGCAAACGGTAAACAGGGAAGTGGCCCCGTCAGCCGCCTGCGTGGCTCAGCAGCTGCTGTTTGGGGATCCTGGGCTCTGGTTTGGCCTGGAGTGGAAGGAGGGACACCTTCCCCTCGCTCAGGTGGGAGGGAGGGAGGGAGGGAGGGGCCTCAACCCCCTGCAGACGCTCTTTCAGCGAATCCCACCGTGTTGTGATGCGGAGCTCCTTGGCAAGAGCGACTGTGCTGCGGGCAAGTCCCTGCTGCCCTGTCTTCCCTGTGGGCCCCTGAGGCTGTGCAAGGAGAGGCAAGCGCGGGCTCTCCGTGGCACTCGTCTCTGCGCCCTGGCCTTCCCTGCCCCTTCCTGGGGAGGCAGCCACCAGGGCTGGGGAGGCCGCTGGGCTGTTGCAGGAGGCAGTGGCTGGTGGCCTTGGCTGGTGTCCCACCGCTGGCTCCCCCCCAGGGTGGCCGCTTGGCACAGTGTGGTGTCTCCAGCAGGCTTCCTGGAGGAAGAGCTCGGGTCCCCCTCTGCATGCGCACACAGCCGTGCACCGCCTAGCCAGACTGTTGTGCAGTAAAGAAACCCTTGCACGTCCCTGGCATGCCACAGGAGGGGCCTGTACCGCTTCTTTCGCTTTCCCGCTCCCTGGTCGCTCCCATTACGTGGATTCCCCCCCCAGCCAAGACACGCTCAGCTGTGCTGGCTGCTGGTTGCTCGCCTGTGTCTTCCGAAGCCAAGCGCCAGGCTGGATGTGGCCTATAGAGGCCAGAGTCGCTTTTTCTTCCTGGTCTCCTTTGGGGTTCTCTCATCTTGTTGTAATGAGGAGCTATTAATACCCATCTTCTGGGACGTGGCCCGCTGCTGGAGCGTGGCTGCAGACACGTGCCAGGCTGTGGCCTAGATGGGAGGTGGCAGTCCCTCCGCAGCTGGGCCGGGGGCAGCCTTTGTCAAGAAGCCAAACCGGAGGAGGGCGGTGGCTGCGCGCCACCCTTGCCAGGAGGGCCGTCTTCCTGCCCAGAGGCTGCCAGGTCCTCCTGCGCCCCCTGCTGCTGGTGATGGGCAGAAGCGCCCCCTTCCTTGCCTGGTTCTGAGTCTGCCGCCTCCTCCTCCTCCGCCTCCTCCAGCCCACAAGGGGATTGTTCCTAACTTTGCCCTTGGGAGGGTGGGGCAGGCAGCCTTTCTGGGCCCAAGTGCCAAAGAACTTGCCATGCCCACCTGCGCGGTTGTTGATGTGGGAGTGGGGCTTGCCCAGACAAACTGGGTGAGTGGGTGGGGGGGGGGCACCCTGAGTCCCAGCAGCAGGCCTGCCAGAGCTTCTGGGGCTCACCCGCGTGCCCCCCCCCCGGCCTCTCTCCTTTGCCGGCTGGGGTCCCGGGCAATGTTCCCTCTAAGCTGTGGAGTCATGTGAGCAAAAATTCTACTTTGTGAGTTGCTGGCGTTAAAGTTGTGAGCGAGCGATTTGGCTGCTGCGTCAATTTAGTTTGCTCTGGAGCCCTCCTTCCTCAGCTAAGACAGAAATGTGTGAGCCGAAAGCTAAAAAACTGTGAGCTAGCTCACACCCACTCAGCTGAGAGGGAGCACTGGTCCCGGGGCTGCAGGGGCAGGGCGAGGCTGGTGCTCTTTCCTCACCCCCTGCCCCTGCCTTCTCCCCATGCCTACGAGCCAGCTTTGCCGCCGCAGGGCACGGCGGGGCGGGCCTTCCTCTGGGAGGAGGCCACGGGTCGCTCTTTTGGCCCCGAGTTGCGGCTTATGGGGACAGGGTGTTCTCGTGCAGCAGAGAAGGGTGACGGCTGAGGGCAGGAGTGGGAAGGAGGGACCCTCCAGGTGGCCAGAAGGGGTTTCGGGACATCGGGGGCCTGTGAACTTTTGCCGTAGTTTTTCCTACGAGTTCCAAACTCCCTGAATCACATAGAAGACCCTGAAAAGAGGTGGGCAGCAGCTTGTGCCGAAAGCGTTGAGGTGGGAGTGGGCCTGCCCCGCCTCGCACCTCCTCCAGCCCCTGATCTGCGGGGGTCCCCAGTCCGCTTGCTCTGGGGGCTCAGAGTTCAGTCTCTGAGCATGTGCAGGTGCTGGTTCTTTAGCCCCCAGTGACCCCCCCACACGCACACACAGATCCACACATGCCCCACACTTTCAGGGCTGGAGAGGGGAGCGTTTGGAATCCTTGAACCTGGCACTCTTGTCTTCCAAAGAAGCCAGCCTTCCTTTTTGAGTGCAACGGATTCCCGACTGGAAGAAAAACCAACTCTGCAGCAATGCTCCCTCTAAGCTGTAGAGTCTTGTGAGCAAAAGTTCCACTTTGTGAGCTCCTGGCATTAAAGTTGTGAGCGAGTGATTTGGCTACTGCACAAATTAGTTTGCTCTGGAGCCCCATCCTTCCTGAGCGAAGACAAAAAGGTGGGAACCGGAGGCTAAAAAACTCTGAGCTAGCTCACACTCACTCAGCTGAAACACTGCTCTTCAGGTAGCCCAGACAAGCTGCAGCCAACAGATTCTGCTGATACGCGTCATTCAGGCCTCTGGTTTTGGCGGCAGACTCCAGAGCTGCAGAATTGCCTCCATCCCCTCCTTTGCCCTAGTCGTGGTTAGATGTGTGAAGGCCTGGAGAAAAACCGGGAAAATTTGGGGGAAAACCATTTTTCCCCACGTTTTTCCTTGAAGCCTTTTTTGTTTTTTTCCAAAAAATTGGAAAAATTGAAAAAAGAAGAGAAAAGGGGGAAAAATCATTATGGAACGTTTTATTTTAACATGATGAATAAAATATTTTAAGAAAAGGTGTTCAAATATTTCCCAGATCATTTCTAAAAAATGCGTATGGTATCAGATTGATCTAATTTCTGTGCACTGAGGACAAACAAGTCCTAGGTTACCAACTGAACTCTCCAATGCAAGAACAAGATGCATTTCTTCCTTTAGGAGGTGCTATTGTCACAAGAAAAGAAAACGGTTTCAGTTTTCTTTTTGCACGTGGGTGGGTATTCTGTTTGTAATAATTGTTTGGATACACTATATTTTTAATAGGCTAGTTGTGATAATTTCATGCCAAGTAAAAATGTCCATAGTCATATTTTATGTTCCTAAAGTAACAGAATGACTTTCAGTCTGGAAAAGACAAAAGAAATGCTAATGTGGGATTCTTTTCAATTTTCCCAAAAATTTCCGTTTTCCCCCCGGAAAAAAATGGAAAAAAACTGGGGTTTTTCCCCGAGCTTCAAAATTTCCAGACATTTTACACTTCTAGTCATGGTGGGATCCTTCTCAGAATGAACCTCCAGCCCACAGCCTGGGAGGGCCAGTGCACAGAGCCGTGGGGGTCCTGGACCCAGCCTCCCCAGCAGCCTCGGCCAGGATTCCCCAGCTCTTGGGGGGGGGCACGGAGTCAATAAAGCACCACCAGGCGGTGTGATTGGCTGGCTGAGTGGAAGCAGAACGCCCGGCTCCTCTGCCAGCCCTCTTTCCTGTGTGTGGCCCACCAGCCCCAGCGCAAAGACGGTCCTCTCTCTGCCCCACGGTCAGCCAATCAGAGGGTTTGGGGCAACAGCTGGAAGAAGTGGTTCCCCTCCCCCTCGCCCCAGCCGAGCCCGCTTCTGTCTCTGTAACCCCTTGCTTCTCTCTCCTCCGCAGGATCCTGCTGGCATATTCGAACTGGTGGAGGTGGTGGGCAATGGGACGTACGGGCAGGTCTACAAGGTGAGTGAGTGCCAGCGAGCGAGGGCATCCCGGCCCCTGGGCCCCGGCAGCTCCTCTGAATGGGGACCCGGGTGGCTGCAGGCAAGCAAGGAAGCGGTGTGTGTGTGTGTGAGAAGTGTGCCATAGCGAGGGCCCCCTTTCCCGGACTCTGAAGGGGGTGAGATGCCAGCCGGAGGGAGGGAGAAGAGGTTCTCTGCAGCGGCTAACATGTGCTTCTTCTACCCATAATGCCCTGCTGAATGTGTGCAAGCTACATTAACATAAAACGCAGGCAAGCGTTCCCAATGTGACATCTCTCTCACACAGTAGGTGATGCAAACAGCTTTCTTTGCCTCATGGTATACAGATGTGTGCACAGTCCATGTGTTGCGTGTGTAGCAGATATAAAACCATAAATTAGTCCATTTCCAAACACCTGACCTCCATTGTGATATTAAGGTCACAATAGGATTGGGAAATTTCAGTTTCTATCATTAGTTGTCCATGAAGCTCAGTAGGTGAATTTGGGTCACTCAGAGTCTTTCAATCAAAATGACCAAACAGATTGTTGTGAGGTTGAAACAGAGAACTTCTTGGATGCAGGACACCATACAATTATAAGACATCTAGATCTAAGGACAGACCACCTGGTCTAGTGTCAATAACAGTAAAAAATAACAAGACTCCAGTAGCACCTTCAAGACTTAGAAAAGTCTGAATCTAATATCAATAAGGACTTCATGGCCACCATGACTACTATGGGACTGTCCTAAATCACTATTGTGCTCTCACTAACAAGGAATATGTTGTATTTAGCTGTGGTGCAAACTTTGACACCAGCACAGTCACCAGGTGATCTGTGCTTAAGTGAATGCCCTCAGTTACTGGTGAAGTGAGCTCTTGACTGAATTGTCATAATATTCCCTGCTGTAGTTCATCATAATCAAAGCACCGTGCCAAACAGCTTCACACCTGCATGATAGCTTTCCAATTGGTACAACTTGTGGGGGCTTTTGGCCTCTCTAGGAACTAATCTTATTTACTGGAGAAGAGGCCGTATCTCCCAGTGTCACAGTTGTTCAAGCCATTAAATCAACCAACTTGTTTAGAGCACAGAATCACTTGTACCAGGGCAGATAGGCCATTGACCTGACTGGGAAACCAGCTGGTGAGTCCCTGTCCTGGAGAGCGGAGGCAATAGGAAGCTTCAGTGGTTCCCCTCGTCTGTTCCTTGGTTATGAGTGCCCTGGAAGATTTTATTTTAGTACGCTTTCAGTTCTGGGAATGTTCACAGCAAACTTTTGTTCAGAAAGAGGCTTCTTCCATCACCCACCATGTGCCACAGGCTGTGGTCAGACGTGCCTTTAGATCTGACTTAGCTGTGAATGCCTGGTGGATCTAGAGTTCACAATCAGACAGAAACATCTGGAAAAGGTCCCATAGTTGTCGGCACCCTGTGCGGCCCCAACACAGAAACGGAGTTAAAAGACACCAGGGAAAGTTCGATCCTAACATTTGCCAAATGGGCCACGGATGGATTTCCCCTAGTCCGATCACTCAAGCGTGCACTCAGGCCATCAGGATGGACTGCTTAGCCCATCCTGACTTGGCACCACTTCCCCCCCCGCTTAGCGATATGCACATAACCGCATAGTCGGTCCATGGAGAACTCTTCATGTGGGGGTTCAATTCCTCTTTTATGTGCATGCACATGAAAAGCCAAAAGAAGCCCACTCGCCGAGACATGCCATCTGATCACGCAGTGATGGATTGCACCCACAGGGAAACGAATTATACTGGGATGTCTGATTGAGCAACTCCATGCCAAATACTAACGGATGAAACAGGAGTGCTTCCTGACCGTGCCAAATGGCTCGAGAGCCAGTTTGGTGTAGTGGTTAAGTGCACGGACTCTAATCTGGGAGAATCGGGTTTTATTCCCCATTTGTCCACTTGCAGCTGCTGGATGACCTTGGGCAAGCCATAGTTCTGTCAGAGCTGTTCTGAAAGAGCAATTCTCAAAAGAGGTCTCTTAGCCCCACCTACCTTACAGGGTGTGTGTTGTGGGGAGGGGAAGGGAAAGGAATTTTTCAGCTGCTCTGAGACTCTGAACGAAGGGCGGGGTATAAATCCAATCTCCTCCTCCTCCTCCTCCTCCTCCTCCTCTTCTTCTTCTCTGACCGCAGCCACAAAGTGTTTTCTGCCAGCACTGAACAAATGCAGCCAGTGCAGGGTTTCAAAGAGCATGGCTACATGACAGGAGAGGAAGGATTATTTTGCTAATGGGGGGCCCTTAATTTGTATCTACCACCCCTGAGTTTGTCTTCAGGCATCAGAGTCCTTAATTTTCTTACATCAATAAACAATTATACAAAAAATATACCAACAAATATTTCTTAGAAAAAGCAATGCAGAACACAGGAAAGTATTCCATCCGTCATATATCATACCTCTAATTCAATTTAAACCAATTTTTTAAAAATTGCAGAGCAAAGAACTGAAGCCTCTTACCTAAGCCGCTATTAATAATATATTAATAATATAGCAATATATTCAGCCAGCCTTGGCTGGGAGGGCGGGGTAGAAATGTAATAAATAAATAAACAACTTTCATCTTACAACAGTCTACTCCAGGGGTCATTTCGTAGAAAAAGAGGTGCAGAAGCTCATTAGCATACCTCATTAGCACAACTTATTTGCATATGCCACACCCCCTGACATCACTGGAAGTGTGTCAGAAGGCAACACCCACCGCTCAGGCGCCACTGGACTGTTTTGGATTGCTAGCTATTGGGGGAATGTGCAGATCTGTCCTCGTAGAGGAGGGAGAGCTCGTACCTGAATAAAACTTGGTCTTTTTTGCCATTTTTTTTATTTTGTTGACGTTTATATACACAAACATTTCATCTGTTCCAGTTACATATAAATCAGAGTCATTCATCTCTTATTTTTTCTTTACAAGTTGGGGTTATTAGTTTTCTGTCAGTTTTTCTATCCACATATATACTTTTTCCCATCTCTTTTCATGTACCCTTTCATTTTTATTTTGCATCATTAGACTTAAGTTATCCATTCTAGCTAGTTCCAGTGCCCGCTTTCTTTCCTTTTGGGGGGGGGAACGTGGGGGGGGGGGGGCTCCAAAGCAAGGACTCTCTTCCTCCTGCTCCTAAAGGACCTTTGGGCTGACCGCCCTCCTCCCGGGGAAGGCCCAGCCCCAGCCCGGACGCTCTCCTGGGACTGTGGGGGGCGGGTGTGTGTGTGCCCACCTCCCTTTTAGCTGATGGCTGTGCCCCACTGGTGACTCTGGCTGTGGGGCCTGGGAGGGGCGGCCTCTGCCAGGGAGAATCCAGGCATGCGCATTTTCCCCGGATGGGTGTGTGGTGGGAGTTGGGGCGTCTGAGCCGTGGCCTTTCTGCGGGAGAGGAGGGGAGGGGGCTGAATCCGCCACGGGGGGAGGGTCTCCAAATGGCCTTCGCCTCCCTCCCCCCCAGCCAGCTTCCGTACAGGGGAGGCTGCAGAGCTGAGGTGTTCCAGATCGTTCTTGTTGGGGGGGGAGGCTTTTTCATCAAGAGTACTTGCTTGAAAGGAAGAGGGAGGCTGTTGCCAGGCAACGGCTACCCACGCCAGGCTGTGTGGCATCGCAGACAATGCCAGCGCAGGGGTGAGGGCAACAACAGGGGGCTTGCTATGCAAATACAGAGTGGCGCTCTGCCGGTCTCTCCCCCCCACCCTTTCCAGCAGCGCTCAAAGGGCCCCAGGGTGGGGAGGCGAATGCTGGCGGGCAGGCCGGGGAGGCTGCCCCTGGGGAGGGCTGAAGCAGAGAGACAAGCAAGCCCTGGCTGGGGGGGAGGCACTTGGGCCCCCCACGCTCCCCCTTGGCTGGCCAGCCGTGGGCCTAGCTGGGGAGAGCGGAGGCGGATCAGCCCCTCTCAGCCCAGGGGCAGTGAGACACGGAGGAGGGGCCCCCAGGTGGGGCTCTGCTGGCCGGTCGGGTTGTTTCTGCCCCGCCTTTCTCCCCAGTGGGGAATCAAAGTGGCCTACATCGTCCCCCTCTCCTCCAGTCCATTCTCACAACCACCCTGTGAGGTAGGCTGGGCTGGGAGTGTGCCTGAGGAGCACAGGGTCGCCCGCTGAGCTTGGCTTGCCCCCCCAGCCCTCCCCCCATCTGAGTCCAGTCCTCAAGCAAGGAAGCGGTGTGTGTGTGTGTGTGGTGTGCCATAGCGAGGGCCCCCTTTCCAGGACTCCGGAGGGGGTGAGATGCCAACCGGAGGGAGGGAGAAGAGGTTCTCTGTAGTTGGCAAGTGGGGAGTTCCCTCTCACCCCCAACCTTAAGCTCTGACGGAGGACAGGCAGCAGCCCCGGGGAGCCTTCCCTTGCCACGGCTGTGCCTCTTGCCCTGGAAGTGCCTCGTTCCCCTCTCAAGCCATCGGAAGCCCGCTGCTGCTGCTGCATCCCATTGACGCCCTCCTTGCGCTGAAGGAAGCCACATCCGGGCGTTCCCCCAAATCCGTGGCAGTGTGAAGCATTGCTGCTTGGGGGGGGGGGTCGCAGAGGTGGCTGCTGCGTGTGGTTCTGGGCAGGGTGTGGCCTCAGGCCGGTGAAGCAGCAGCAGCAGCACTGCAAGGGTGGCCTGGGCCAGGAAAGGGGCGTGGCTGGAGGATCGAGCACCTGTGTGACGTTCCCAGGGGCAGCGGGTCTGTCTGTGCAGAGGAGTCGTGTCCAGGGCAGGAGTCTCGCATAAGAACAGAAGGACAGAAGAGAAGCGCCAATGCTGGATCAGGCCCAATGGCCCACCCAGTCCAACACTCATTGTGTCACACAGTGGCCAGAAATACCAGGGACCACATCAGGAGGTCTGTCAGTGGGGCCAGTCCCCCCCCCACTGTTGCCCCCCCCAAGCACCAAGGACACAGAGAGCATCCCCTGCCCCTTGCATGCTTTGCTCGCACTCACCGTGGCTTGAGCGCCCCCCTGCACAGACCACGGCCAAAGAGAGGGTGGAGAGTCCTGCTCTGTGGCCC